ATATATATATATATATAAATAGCAATAATAAATAAAGAGAATATTCTTGTTGCGATGTTTATGTGTAGTAATTGTATCGATTGTTTGAATCATTTATTGTGCTGCTGTTGCTGCTGCTGCTGCATCTGCATCTGTTGTTGCTGGTGCATCTGTAGTTGCTGCTGTTGCTGCTGCATCTTTGAGTAGTTGTGCAGCAACAGGATAGAAAGGACTTTGTGTATTAGTTGTTTTTGCTGCTGCAATTGCTGCAGCATATAGACGATTTGCTGCTTGTTGTATAATTTGTTTGCCTCTTTCTGTACTAATTGCTGTTAATTGTGTTGCTGCTGCTTGCTGCAGCGCAACAGAAGCAGCAAAAAAAGAATCTGTACATATATATTCTTTTCCTTGTAAATTAGCAAATAAATTACTAGATAATAAATGATCACAATCATAGAAAGGAAAAGAAGAAGAAGAAGAAGAGGAAGAAGAGGAAGAAGAAGAAGAGGAAGAAGAGGAAGAAGAAGAAAAAGAAGAAGAAAGATAAAGATTAATTAATGTATTATAATTATTTTCTTGTTTAATTTGTTTATTTTCTTGTAGATATAAATAATAAGAAAGTATATTTAATGAATAAAATAATAAATTATTCTCTATTTCCTTAATATAATAAAATAATCCTTCTCTTGTTTCTTGTATAGATGCCTCTATCCAATACATATATGTATTTATTTGCCAATTATTTTGTGTATTTATATTATTTATTATTAAATTTATTTTATTTTTTATTATTAATAAATCATCATTATTTATTATTTCTTTTTCTTTATTTATTATGTTATATACCTCAAGAATCACCACTAATAAGCGTGCTCCTTCTGCCTCCAACTTGGCAGCAGCAGAGGGAGAAGGAGAAGAAGAAGAAGAAGAAGAAGGAGAAGAAGAAGAAGAAGAAGAAGAAGAAGAAGATAATTGTATATCCTTTAATCTATTAATATAATTAATAGATAATTCAATAGATATTGTCCTAAGGACACGAATAATTCTGTGTATATTTTTTTTATTTATATTAAGAGGAAGACCTCTTGCTGTTGGTAAAGGATCATAAAAAGGTAATATATTTAGATAAATTAATTCTTCTTCTTTTTTTTTTTCCTCTTCTTTTTCTTCTTGACTAGGAGAAGTATTATTATTATCATTATTATATTTTAATAAATTATATTCATACATATAAGTAGTATAATAATCCTCTATAGAAGAATAAGGTAATAAAGATAAATTAGGTGTATATGCATAATGACTATATGTACAGGTACCTAAAGGAAGGTCTTGTTTATATATAGATGATGATGTTCCTCCTCTTCCTCCTCCTCCTCCTCCTCTTCCTCTTCCTCCTCCTCCCCAATAAATAACATAACGAGGACCATATTGTGCACTCCACCCTAATGGTCTCTCCCATTTCTCTAGTCCTCCTGATTCGTGTGACTGCAGCAGCAGCAGCAGGAACAGCAGCAGAAGCATTTGCTGCTGCTGCTGCAATATTGACCTTAACAGGCCGAGGTATGAACAACAACCACCTAGACGACGAAAGGAGGATGTAAAAGAAATCATTATTATATAAAAAGAAGGTGTTTATTAATTAATTAAATAATTAATTTAATAAAAGAAATAAATAAATAAATAAATAAAAAAGAAATAGAGGAAATACACACCTAGTTATGTATACAATTCAATATGAATATATTATTCCCTCCTTAGTCATTCAATGTATCATCATTCATGATTACGTCATTAAATGTGTTTATATAAATATAAATAAAACATATTAAATAAAATATTCTTTTTTATTGAATTAAATGAATAAAAAGAGGAAAGAAAGATGATGATAAATAAAAAGAATGCCTCTTTTCTTCAAATATAAATAGACCGTTGGTTCCTTTTTCTTTGTATCATGTATAAAGGTGATTAAATAGCATCCTTTCTTTTATATTTTCTTCTTTTTACTTCATATTGAATAATAATTAAAAGAAATATCCCTTATTTAGTTGTACATCTATATAAAGAAGAAGAAAACCAGCACGAGGAGTCGTGGTGGACAGATCTAACAAGGACAGCAGCAGCAACAGCAGCAGCAGCCTGTTTGTTGATTGATGGCTTCCTTCTCCTGTCTTATTAAGGAAAGAAGATTTTTCTTTATATATTTTGTATATATTTGTATATTTTATCATTTTATTTAATAATATTAATGGACAGATAAATATTACTATTTTATCTGTCTGTCTTATATTACACTTTCTTATCATGGTAACAACAAGAAGGAATACAGCAAGAAAGAAAGCTCATGTTATCTTCTTTATCATGTCCAATGTACAATTATTTATTTATATTTCCTTCTTTTTGTTTAATTAAATATTTTATAGGAATTTATTCCATTTAGTGTAGAATGCCTGCCTCTTTCTCTTTTTTCCCTGTATATTTGCTTCTTCTTCCCTTCCTTTTTTTCTCTCTGTATTTCTTTATTCTTTGCATGTGACTACCTTTACTCCTATTACTACAAAAGGAGTAGAATAACCACCAGAAATTATTTTACTCTTTTTTTCCTTCACAATTTATTTATTTCTTCTCTATTTTATCTATTCACCATCATCTCCCTAATATTTATTCAATAGTATTTTGCATATATCTCTGTATGCATGTATGTGCATACCCAAGGAGCATTTATTGCATCTAATCCTCTCCTCCTCTCCACTTTTATTGATTGTTTGTTCCTTTAATATGTCTATCTATCTGTCACTTATCATTAATATATTTAATCCTTTAGCATAATATTGCCACGATATTTTTTGTCCTACTTATTCCTTTAATTCCCATCATATTGTCATCATATGCCCTTCCTACTACTCACCATAAGCACAGATACCACAGACATATATATATAGTTATCCTTACACCCCAATAATCATCCATCTCTCCTTTTCCTTCCTTCTTTCTTTCCTTTTTTTTCTTTCTTGAATCTCTCTATATGTGCAATAATACTCTCGATGTGACAATTATTTTGTCACGCATCACAAGAGTACCTACAGCACCTCCGCAGATTCATAGGATGAGGCACTAAGAGGCTGGATTAAAGATTGGGAGTATTTGTAAAGATAGGCAATCAGCGAAGGAAAATACTACAAAATATTAGCTGGCAGAAAGTACGATATGTGACGCAAACGCACACCTCGTCCAACTTCCCATGTTAAATGTTACATGTTCCTACTTCAGTTTAAGTGCATTGACAACTAATGCTCCTCAGGCGATGCTATGCCTTAGAACATGTCTGCCGTTTTCAATTTAAAGGCTCACTTGTTACCAATCACCAACTTGCTAATAATCACCCTTTAAGCTGCCTGAAGCTTCAGAGCAATTCTACAATTACAGTCGTCTAAGGCCATTCAAGTGTTCTGCCTGAATAGACTACAACACGGCATATGCGTATTTTATAGAGTTCGCCAGCTTCCTTCAACAATAGGTGATCTGAACGGCCTGAAGGCAGCAATTGCCCAACCTTTGCATATGAGCATCTACTTAAATCGGTTAAGGCGGAGCTCAATCAAGGGACGTGCACTCCTTTCCGTCCTCTTGCTTTCGCTTTCACGCTTTGCTGTGTGTCACTCATTACTGCAGTGCCACGCTCTGTCATGGGGTGCAGCAGAGTTTGGAGCAACTCGTTATGCAGGGCAATTTCACATGCAAGCACACCCAAACCACCTTTTTGCTGCACGGAATAAAATTTTGACCAATTGTGAAATACTTGCGTGGCCCTCAGTAGTCAGCACGCAAGTAAAAATGCGTGTACCCACTAAACACAATGTAAGTTGCACGACAATGGCTACCATATTAGACTTATTAGTATCTACTCCTCACATGCGTACACAACATGCAGACGTTGGCCTCTTCTCGAATTGGTGGATTTGCGACGCTGGAGATAAGTGGAAGAAGGTAGGTGCAGGAGGAAGGCCTGACATGGTGGGTCTCAAAGATGACAAGTCTCTTTCATGGATCTTTGATCTTTTGTACGAAGCTTGATCTAAGTTTTGTCGCCCAATTAGAACGAATTTTACCCTGTTGCGCTGGCCTTCGCCGTTACTGGCACATAGCAATGCTGGCATGTTGGGGTACTGGAGGTGGATAGAACATCCAACGATTCCCAGCATACTATGAGCAAAAATCGAACGTGTTTACCAACTGCCACCTTCACAATGCTTTGGAATTAGCGTACCTTTGCTAGAAGGGTAACGTTGTCATGTGCTTCGATTCAAATGGCCGGCTAGCATCACTCTACCACTATGTCCCGTGCCTTCCCGAGGCACGGGACATCTTATATTTAAACTCTTACAGCCCCTTCGAAATTTTCATGTTGTAGAAATGTGTGCACTGTGTAACAATGCATGCAGTGGTTTATCAGCCCCATGCCACCACTGCAACGCATGTCGGCAAGCGTGTAAACGAGAGTTCGCCCGGATGGAACAGACAGGGTCAATCCATTTTTTCTCGTTAGGTAAAAATTCAATTAATCTGTAAGAATCTAGAAGAACATCTTTGTGACGGCTTATAGGTGGAATCACGTGGGTCTCTGTCGTGCCGGATTCGACCGCAGCAGCTTCCTTCTGCCAGCCTACCCTCAAACTCACAAGGTTGAGGTGACACTCTGCCAGTCACTCTGTCTACTCATTCACAAAGGGCAACCATGGCGACTGGCATAGCACTAAAAGACTATCTGTGGTCTCTTGGCCTAGGATTTCTCTCATTTGCAGCGGGGTCGGTGCTTATGCACAACTTGCTGGCTCCAGATATGTCTGAGCCTGACCTGCACGGCCGTTCGAATGCTCAACGTGACGCAATTAGGGAGGTGGAAGAACTTTCTCGCAAAATGGATGCATAGCAAGTAGGCGATTTCTCAAAAAAATCTATGTTTCAAAAACAATTGCGATTTGTTGATGCGATTGGATTGAGACTAGTTCAATACACGCAGAAGTTTCAGGGAAACTTCCACGTTTATCCGCAGACGGGCGGGACGATGACCTCCTGGATGCACCTATCGCCTCGAAGCATGCCCTGAGGAGGTGAGGTCGTTTGGAAAGAACAGCAGTATCCAAGATGGGTAGAAACTTACCTCATAGCATCCGGGTGAAGGTTTTGATACATAAGCACATTGCCCTTGAATGTTTACTGCACCATCTTCACACTTGATCTGTCGCACGGCCATGAGTGTCTTGGTGCATTGGCACTGATTATCACAGCAATCATCATTATATCCAGGTGGGCATTCCACAACCTTGTCCTCTTTGATGACCTCAATGCATCTGTTGTCGTGGGGTTCTCCAACGAGACATCTGGAGATGGGGTCAGCGACTAGAATTCGGGCACACCGGCATTGGCCCTTCTTGTTAATGACATCACATGTGAAACCTTCCTGGCAAGTGTAGCCAGGTTGCTTTTTGGCCCCAATTAGACAATTCCCGCCTTCGTCAAGCTCCCCTCTGCAGATTGGCATGGTGGGAAGCACCTCCCGGTGGAGACATCTGCACAGTTTTCCGGAGCATTCAAGGCTAAACGGAAGTTGACACTGGCATGCGACGGGTGCGACTGGTGAGCAGTCAATCTCTGGCTCCGGCTCAGGAACATCTTTCGACGGATATGCTACCTGATTCTTTGATGGTGCCTGCTTTCGGGGGACCATTGGGCGAGTTTGACACAGAGCATAAATATCTGGATCGTAGCAGAAGCCTTCAACCTCCTGCAGGCCAGGAGGGCATCCACAACGTGGCAGTGTCTCCGTTGTCTTGGCACATGCGGAACACATCGGGCTGTATTTCTTTTTCTTCTTTATGCTGTACGAAATGCACGCATAATCATCCGGGCAAACATATTCAAATCCTTTCTCAACTGTTGTTATGCAAGAATCTCCATCCGGTGACAGAACGTCCGGAGGGACACATATGGGAACAGGCTCTCCAATCTCTTCCTGAACGCACTGAGTTCCAGTCTCGGTGAGACCAAAGCCGACAGGGCATTCGACGATCGGCTGATGAGCAATAAACCGTGTGCAGTAGCCATCCTGGAACTCTGTTCCGTTTGGACAAATAGAAATCCTCTCTGCTGTCACTGGCTTGGCGCAACAGGGCGATTCCAGCCTGTCTTTCTTGTTGCAAACCGTGATGTAGTGCTCAGGACACTGTATCACGGCTTGTGCAGGCATTACGCAGAGGCCGTCCATTATATTCCCGATTTGGCATATTTCCTATATAAGAGTTGCGTCACGAATAGTCAACGTTTGGTATGGTCAAATTCAGTTTACCTGGGGTGCACTTTCGAACGTCCGGATGCAGGACCCGTCAGTGAGAGTGTATCCATCTTGGCATCCGCACTTTACAGGGGGGGGCATCTCTTTCAGGTGTCGTATCACCGCCTTTGCAGAGCCTTCTGCGTTAGCATCGGCGCCCCCAGCGGTGAGGGAATGAGACCCCGTGGCCGAACAAAACAATGTGGCAGCAATAATATAATACCTCATCTTTTAAAAAAGGATTGAGCGATAGAAAAAAAAAAGCAAACCGATAACTGAACGATAAAAGCTAGAACTGAACCAGGCGCCGGTCAACGCACTGTATGCTTAGAATTCCTGGCAGGGCGTACAGACACCGCAGATTTGTTGCCTTCAAAGACTGCCACTTTCGGCAAAATCTGTTTTTTTTGCCTGCCCAGAGAGACCCGTTGCCACTGCAGATAAGATGCATTCGAACTGGTACAGCAATCTAGCAGATATTCATTTTTTGCTCTGTGCGGTCGACCGCGTATATACTTTGGCGAGCTCGACCGGCGATGCCACAGCCATCACATGAGAGCTACAGTTGATGGGTTTGCCTCTGTTTCATAACTAACCATTGTGTCCATCTAATTGACTAGTATACTCTGATATGTTATCCTCCCGCCTACGTGCACTCTAACTGTGGCTGTTTGTGAAGTGATAAGGAAGCGTGGACCGTGCTGGACGGAAGCCGTCCAAATATTCGGACGAAGGAATTTCACATTTTCCGCTTGAACGTCCAAAGAGCCACTGCTAAGGTGGAGCCCTGCAGGGCAAGGCATCTCCCTGCATCATCCGTTGTTTCCTGCAAAGCTCCGTCCCGTGGAGAGTGGCTTTTGGCAGGCTGCAGTTGAAACCTTCAAGTGCACCTCATAGCAGGGAGGACAATTAGATCGAACTTGAATAGTGGCACTGTGCACATCACTACCGCATTTGTGGGACCATTGCGCCAATGAGCAGTAGCTTTGCTCCGGTAGACAATCACTTTATTCCCAACAAAAGTACCTGCCTTCGTTGGACTGAACAATGCGACACTGCCCGTCAAAACAGTACTAGAAGCCTGGTAGCATAAATAATTGGACTTTATTATGGCATTCGCCGCATCGAGAAACCGCGGGGATTCGCTTTCCAGCTGCTCTGCAATGATTTGAAATTGCCCGTCCAGTGTCTTAAAACAGTCCCTTCATGTGATTTATTATTTTATTCTTGTGTGTATATGGCTCCTATTATTGATGATGGGTTGGAATGATGATGCATGAGGTCAAACGCCTCTCAGGCTTTCAGGGTTGATGGCAGGGCAACAACGGATGCACAGAATTGACTGGCGACACAGATCGGAATGTTTAGGTGGCATTGCTGATTTTGCAGGTGGACACAGGAACCTTTAATATCTTCTCGTTTGTTATGCTTCTTACGAAACTTTACACACAGTAGATAGTGATTTTCAGAGCAGCAGGCACAGGTGACCCTCCAACAGGATGCTGGCTGACTACATTGCAAGCAGCTCATTCTCCCAGTGCCCATTCAGCATGCTTGGTTTGGCTTCATAAACACTGAAATGAAGTAAAGCAAGCGTTGACCTGATAACCAGCAATCGGGGTTTGCCCGTACAAAATAGAGCAGGCGTTCCTGCCGAAAGTGAACTATTGCTCTCAGCCACTCCACGAAATGCAAAAACACGAATACTTAGGAATGGAAAACAAGCTTAAGAAAGTAAATGGTGCAGTTCGCCCCAGTGGTTGTCACGTGCCGTCCTGTGTCGATGGTGCACTGGACCCGAGCACTGATGGGGGCTAGACGGCAGCTACACGCTCCGCTGCGGTGCTCCCCACTCCACAGAGGACGTTTTAAGTTGCTGTTTATTGGACTTCACTTCCTTTTGACTCTCTATATACCGTTTTACGTAATGTAAGGGAGGCACAACTAATGGAAGGACAGGCACGAATACTACGAGGGATGAAGCTGCTGCCCTTATCGGCCCTTTCGGTCCTCTGCCTGTTTTACACATGTGGTAATATCTTAAGATATCAGATTTTCAGCTAGGGAGAGAAGTCACACCTCACTCTCACCTCCCTAACAAATACCAGCCAAGCGAGCCCCGCCGAGGCCGTAGGTTGCAGGAATGAACTAGATCCTGATTACAAAGGACTCCAGCAACGTCTATCTTTAGTCTCTCAGAGAGAAATTAGCGTGTAGGTGAAGCAAACATTCAGAATAAGCTGAGCCATCATGTGTGAAGTCTTGGTAGGCCCAACGCGTGCACAAGGAACGGGTGCTGCCTTGCCGCGTGTTCATCTTGGAGACCTTCGGGAAGCCCGTGGTATGATGCTGGAGGACATATTGACAGTTCAGGAATCGGGTACTGATACAGCTGCAGCTAGCTAGTTAACAGTGGTGTTCTGGAGATGAAAACCCGTCCATCCTCAAAGATCGCGTGGCTGACAGAGTAGAATCTTTTTCACGTTACTCTGCACCTTCAGATGTTTTCAACGAACTTCTCTGGGCATGCGACGGGACAGCGTGGGACACTGTTGGCTGTGTTGCTCTGCGGGACGCCGTTTTCTGCCTTTCCAATTACTACACCATTGACCGCCTCAACCTCCTACGCGGTTTCTCCAAGAGCACTTGGATTGAAAGAGATGAAGGAGAGCTTGGCATGTTGGTACATACATGCTTCTGTGTATATCTCTTGTTCAAAATCGCTGCATTAGCCTCCGAAGGCACTGACACTCCTCCACATTCAGTCAGCAAATGTGGGACCTGCACAATAAATATGAGGGAAGGAACACTACAGAAATAGAAGGTAACATGCCTTGATATTTCAGCATGATAGCAGCACATTGCGGTCGACCTACCGCTGGAATCCGTCCGAGAAGAACAGGCCAGCCGTTGAATATGAATTGAACAGCAGACAGCGTACATGCAACCTGTTTACGTCATTAGATTCACTCGCCTTGCGCCTCTGGCAGGACATTTCCACCTGGTGCCTGCCTGAAGTCATTGTGGAGCCGTCGCAGACTAAAGCTAATTGCAAGGATGCCATGCCGAATCTGAGTCTGCCGTTTCCTTCGGCTCAGTGTAGGTAAGTGGCGGCAGCTATATTATTATTTTTTCTCAGGTAGGAAAGAGTCCTCGCGTTGCTGCATCGTTGGAGTGTTACATGTGTCTATTTCCACAGTGTGCAGCGAAAGTAAGTGATGATACCAGTTAGTACGTTAGTGATTGATGACGTTACAAAAAAGGCAGTCAGCTGTGCATATTCTGCTGTTGAGGCGACCCATGCCACGTGGCACCAGAATAATGTGAATGCGCAGGCGGCTCGCACGCGTGATGAACCGCTCAGCGCAGGACAACCCAACGTGGGCGCTTCTTTTTGCAGCGTTAGCTGCCCTCTCTGCCCTTGCTTTCTATCAATAGGACTTCTCGTACGCACACGCACGGACGGCCTAAACCTGCAACTGCAGCTTCAGCTGCAGCACACACAGGGCCATCAAAAAGCTGTCCAACTGTTTTTTCTCTGGAGCCAATTACTAGGACAACGAGAAACAGATGAACACCACTGCGCCACAGTTGCTGTCTGTTGCCAGATGGCACGATCCATATGTAACGATGCAAGTTGGCCTTGGAGCGCCTTAGGGTAGAAATTGCTATATTCAACGTTAAGAGTCACACATGCACCTAGCGAACTCCTGTGCTCACTACTTCTGCAACTGCGGCTGCCGGTGTTTCTGCGGGTGCTACAGCTGCAGGTCGTCAAGCCTCAAAATAACGACAGTAGGCGTTGCGGGCGTTTTGCATGAAGAGAAAAGTCATAAAGAGAGAAGCTGAGTGAAACATAGTTCGCGCGCCAACGCCTGCGAAGCATCCTGCCAGTCCTTCAGACTTGTAGAGAGAAATTAGACCCTGAAATGAACAAGCAACGCGTACGCTTCTCCATCCCAGTTAATGTGTGCGTACGCACCAGGCCCCTGCTCAAGGCAGTATGCACCCTTCAAAGTCACCTCACATGAAAAAAATGTTTGTAGAAAAACGGGGGCCGACTGCCTGTAGAAGCCTCCACCTGAACTTGCAGCCTGCGAAGCATTGCAAGCCAAAAGAGCACCGACAAAGACTCAGAGAGAGAGACACACAATAGAATGGACAGGCAATGCGATAATTATTGCTCTTGGTTCTCTTCCTCTATTGATTTTTCTTTATTTATTAGAACGCGCAACGTCTTCCCCCTCTGTTCAATCTAAAGGGGAATGAATCCACAGTGGCTTTAGGAAGTGCTATATATATACATTTCGGATTTCACTTTCCTCTATTAACCAGGCACTGGCGGATAGGATTCCCGGCCACAGGACACCTCTCTATGAGGAAATAGGATACCAATACGGGCCAAAGCTCTACTTTTAAGGCCTACCGTCGGACTCTTCGAAGACCCACCTGAGCTTCACTTTGTCTAGTGGCGCCGTCAGAAAGGCCGCGCAGCCAGCAGCCGCCCCCGCTACAGACGCCGCCACGAAAGGATTGCAGGGGAGAGAAGAGGAAGGTGATGTCATCTTGACCTCTGACGGCAGCATCAGGCTGTTGGCTGCCTTGCCGAATTGCTGAAAGACATCAACGAAGCACCAACGCAACTCAGAAGGGATAAAGTGCAGGCAGACGAACCACACCGAAGGGAACAAGATAGCGTAAGACAACAACCCTAAACACACAATTGGTCCGCAGGCAACACATAAAAGCTCGTCAATGACTACAGAGAAGATAACAGAAAACCAAAAGAACACCCGGATTCGTCACACCGACACGTACGTGGTTGAGGGTGAAGAAGAGGGCACTGAAAGGGCCAAAAGAAAGCAGAGTGGCGCCGTAGCCTCTATACAGCCCAGACAAGCCACCCATTCGCATGACGTCAGCAAGAGTGGGTCTCCTCTTCTTGGCAACTTCGGGCTGCATTGCTGAATATACCTGCAGCAACAGCCCACTTGCCTAGTGGCAACACAGAAACTATCTCGCTGCGCAGTGAGGTGACGGCAGAGGAAATGATGCACTCACCCACAGAAACTCGAAGCTGCTGCAGTGTGAACAAGTAAAACGCATTCATCTGCACTTGCCCTTGCAGCTAGAGCTGGCGCTCAAGGCCAGTGCCGAGGGCTGCCCACCTGCAGGCGTTCCTTGCACACGTCCATGGGGAGGTAGAGAAGACAGGCAACAGCTTCTGCAGTAAATCCGCAAACTGAATCGAGCAGCAGCGCCCTGGTGAAGCTGCATTCTGCTGCTATTTGCTGCGGATCCCCGGGGTTACGCGAAAGGCGCAGCAGCCGTGTCTTGACGGCTTCGTAGGTGCTAAAATAAAGACAAGTTGCCGGCACTGCCAGTGCAGCCGTGATACTGCACATACAGCCTCAGGAACATCAAATTATCCGCCATCAGCTCCTTTGTTGTTACGGTAGCTATCCAAGAACCAAGTAGAGAGGGTACAGGGTTATTTGCTGCGAACTCACGCGAATCCCCGGTAGAGAGCTGCGGCGCCGTCCATATGCCACAGATAGCTTAACGTACGCAGCGTCCTGGAGCTTCCCCCCAGCATCCTAAGGGAGTGGGAGTGTGGCGTCGTCTGTACCTGAATGACTGCTTTGGCGGTATCCAGAGGATGTATCAGAACGCGAGACAGCAAACCCGCAACAGACGCAGAGGCCATCGTTGCTGGCAGACCCTGCAAGTCATCCGGCAGCCTCGGGTACCGCAGACGCAGCTCCGCGGGGGCTGTGGACTCCATCTTTCAACGGCAGACACCCAACTGGGATACGAAGATGGAATGGAGTGCACGACTGCAGAGGCACGTGCATCAGGGTCCCACGGGCCGTGCAGGTTGGTTGAAGATTTTCCACTTTCATATGCCTGTGTTATATTTGCTGGCATCTCATATATGCATATACATACAAACAAGCAAAAGAGTAAGAGGGAGGATTGGAGAGTCTCGAGCTCAGCCGCGCCCCTCTTTCTCCATTTTGTGCCCTCTTTAACTCTACTAAGAACTCTGTAAAATCGAAAACTCAACCGTTTAACTTTACCCTTCCAGACACGAGGCGGTCGACTCGCTTTTGGGGCCCCTCAGCCGAGTCGACAGATGCTGGCGCTCGGATCGTGCTATGCTCACATCAAGACTGAAACAGCTACACGAAGAATGGGAATCTGCACAAATTAATATTCATATGAATATGTTGAACGCATTATTTAAATAGCAGATGGAGGGAACAGCAGACACACTGTTACACAATCAGCGGTACCCTGTGGGGCCCAACAAGGGCTGTGGATCGTATCACGCGGGGCTCCGCTGCCTCAATTCCAACTCAGCGTATCAACGGTTCTTGAGTGACTGAGAACTATTTGAGCACTACACACATTTTGTGTGTTTGTGGGGTGGCGTTGACAGCTGAGCAACTCAATACTAGCCATGTGCCGCTCAATGCATCTAGAGGCACTGTGGTAACCGTTGGGCCGCGTTCACTTTCACGCTTAATTTCTGACTTATCTGAACTTGCCAATGAAATATATGCAGTCATGTTACAGTTGTGCAGCTGCAGGGAGCCACCCGTTGTTGTCTGGAAGTGACGTGTATGCAGTGTCAACAGGCAGTTCCTGACAGCCGGCGCTCTGATGAGACTGCCTAGACAGCCCGTCTTCTTCTGCCGAATGAAAGGGTTTAGGAAGGAGTTCTCTCACATACCATCGAATAGCCAGTCTCAGCTCAAAACCCCAGACGAAATATGCTGTAGTACATTGGTCCTACGGTGCCTGCATGCAGGAGTGGCTGTCAATTAGTTCCAGTGACAAACTCGGGTGTTTTCCCTTTTCAGTTATCAAGCATCTCATCCTTTGTGCCTTCATGCGAAAGCAGAGGAATAGACGCAGGCTGCCCGTATATTATGGATAAATATTGCTGTATGTACACTCAGCACAGCACAGCAGCATCACATCGTGCCATCTCGAACAACCAACAATGAGTTCGTTGACCGCCAGTGGGGGGCTGCCAGAATATGATGCTTCTTCCCTTAATTATCTCATTCCGTTGTGTTTGAAGAAGAGGTACTTCTGCTATTTCATTTTAGATGGGATGGAGTGGGTCCGCCGTTTCGCTCATTTGCTGCTCGCGGGCTTTGTCTTTCTTCCAGTAGGAGGGGCCGGGAGGCTTTCGCGACAGCCCCGCCAGGCGCTTTCTAGTACGTTGGAGATGAATCGAATACGCTTATTTTGCGGCACACCTTCTCACAAGCCTCCGACAGCTCAGAGCCACCACCAAGACAGTCCACTGATTCGGGGATGGTGTCTTTGCCCCTCTGGACTGACGGCAGCCTTCAGTCAGTTTATATTTTGACTAGACAGCGCGAAGCATGTGACACAATTCAAGCCCAGATTTTACGGGAATATTGGAATAGGAACTCCCCCGCAACCATTCAAAGTACTCTTTGACACGGGTGAGTGGATGTGGCGCTGAAAGCCATCTGCACAGCAGTGCGAATGTGAACGATCCTTACATGGCTGCAGGCAGCTCGTACACCTGGGTGCCGTTCATCAGCTGCCTAGTAGCTTCTTGCCTGCTGCACAGCCGGTTCAATCCCGAACTGTCGGCTACCTTCAATCGAGCCGTTTCTCCTGAAGCAGCACCTCAGCCGCAAACGCGTGTGACATACGCCTCAGGATATATTGATTCGATGACAGGCAGAGAAGTGCTCCACCTGCAAAAAGTCAAGTGAGCGCTTCCCTCCCCCAGCCAGTATCCTGTAGCTCAATGAATTGCATCAAGGCTCCACGACTACGCGATTGGATTTGTAGTCCGGCAAGCCGAATACCCCTTTTCTGAACTTCGTGAGAAGAACTACGCTTAAGAAGGTCAAAACCACATTTGAAACTTTTCCTGCAGCTTTCGACGGCATCGCCGGCCTCGGTGCATTGCATTCCTTTTCCTTTGCTGTGCACTTGATGGGAATAAAGCGCAAATAAATTATATCAGGCCATCCACATAATGTGCAGGAGTCGAGTTCTCTAATCAAACAGTTGGTGGAGGCGGGAGCCATCAAGTTGGCAATGTTTGCCATAGCTCTTCCTTTGAGTGCTTCCTCAGCGGGAGAAGTAACTTTTGGCGGCTTTAACCGACAGTAAGCCCCACAATACTGGTTCTCGTTCGCAAGGGAAGATCTGACTGCATATTATTTTAGCTACATCCAGAAGGGTGTCGCGATCGCATGGTTCCCGCTGCTGTCAAAGCAGAGCAATAGATGGGAACTGTGGCTGTGGGATGTTTTAGTGGACGATGCAACAGTTGGATTCTGCACACCTCAGCTTCCATGCATAGCGGTGATTGACACGGGCACTTCAGGCATTGGCGGCTCCAGCGCCTTTGTCGAACAAATACACCAAAAGGCAGCAGCCTCCTCTATGCGGAACGAAGCAGGCGGAGGAAACACATCACGCCTCTCTTTTGTACTACAGCCCACTCCGGGTGACGACATCCACGTTTTTGCAGTCAATCCTAACGAATACACTCAGAGCGATGCAGCCTCTTCTTCCCCTCGCTGCACCTCTGCCATGATGGCCTTGCCCCTGCCATCAGGCCAAAGCCGCACCATCGTGAGTCAATTACGTATATACAGATATTTATTCGGTATATATTTGAATATGTATTACATTGGACTTGAATGTATCCATATGTAAAGTAAACATAAACGTATATATGTACTTTCATGCATGCTTGTATACAATGTGAGGGCTGAAGGGGAGTGACACTGTCAGGTGCTGGGAAATGTGTTTTTGAAGAAATTCTACGCCGTATTTGACTACGACAACAGCCGAGTTGGTGAGCTTTTTGGCTTGATATGTGGGAAGCTTCCACACAAAATGATTACTCAGGCTTAGCAGAACGAAGCAGCGAAGAGCGTTTCACTGGCCCCTCGGGGTTGCTAGAGCGTGGCTACATGAGTGACGGCGCCTCACTATAAATGAAATTGGGGGATAAGAGGAGAACTAAAGCCAAAACGGACAAACAAACGATCGGGTAGACGACAGATTTCCTTGCGGAATCCGCAGAGACCTCCCAAAGAAACCTCTCCTGCTGGGTGGAGCAGTGATTCCCCACTGATGTCGTTGTGATGCATCTCCTTGATGATTTTCTGTGTGCCGATTGGACTTTGACGCCCCTACGAGCAGGAGCCGAGAGCTGCCCACAAGGCGACTCAGGGCCAGGAGTAGCCTGAATGAGGCTCAATACTGTGCGTGCAGAAGTTCAGTACACGTCTACAGCTAGCTACCGAGGAAATAAACGACCCAATCCTGCAGGCGCGTGCAGGAACGCCCCCGTCCGGGTCCCTGTGGGAGCAAGAGGAAGACGTTTTGCCATCCTGTGTCGGCTAAAGTGATGGAAGGCAGGCATGCCAAAACAAAGCTTTATACCTGATATTTACATTAAGTGGCGTCGCTTTCTTCCTCTAGCGGCCTGATCATAGCCACTTCACTACGATATTGAAGGTAAAACGCAACACACAAGCTCCGTAGCGTAACTGACAACCTTAAAGGACCTCCACACGCCGGTTTGGGATCAGCACATGCTCTTCCGGATAGTCACCCCAGCTCCTGGTCACGACGAAGCTCAGGCATGCATATGTTGTGCACTAAATTCGTAGATATACACAGCGCACATTCTATAGCCTGCAATGTAGTTAATAGGTACGAGCCAATAGTCCACACCTGCTGCGAAGGGACTAAACTGCAGGAAGGTGCAATGCTGGCCGCTCCATGCCACAAAGCAACGAACGCTGAAACTCTAACGGCTAAAGAATGCACAAAATTGACAAATATCCTAAAAGTTAGCATTTGTCGAAACAAACTTGCCAGCGCATGCAGCAACACACTGGGCTGTTCATGAACCATTGCGGGTTGCACCGGCAGCATAAAGAGGGTCTGGTAGGCAGGAAACAGAGCAAATACGCGTTTCGTGAATTGAGAAACTGCAAATCAGTGTTTTCAACACGGTGGTTGCTATTTCGCCTACCGCCTCCCACTCTGGCGGACTACACCGGTCTCCGGGGTCTCGGCGAGCAGCGACGAAGCAGGCAGAGATGAACGCAGCTCCTGCCGTTTTTGCAGACTCTTTGCGTCTCTTCAGCATGACCTGCGTGTAAGGATGGATAGCATCCTGAGCAGCATCGCGGATGCTCCCATTAGCGCAGTTGCAAAGAGAAGGGCGTACGAGCTCGTGCTGAAGATTGTGAATAAGTAAGGAACTCAAGTCTAACCAACTGCAGCGAAGTTGGGGCTAGATGCAGGCCATGCTCTGCACTCAAGAAATACGCGTTTATGTGTCTGTGCCTTTGCAGTATCGTCCAGGCAGCTCGTAGCCATGACCCTAATCTGCCGAAGTTCAAGTGGGTAAAGGCACAAAGCGGCTCACCCCTGAGGGAAAGGGTGCTGAACGTGAGCCCTTTGTTCCTCCAGCTGCTGGAGTCGTTGGGTTTTCGGCTTAGGATTGGCCGGCCTCCGCACGTGCAGACGGGCAACCCTCAGGAGTACATCGTGCTAGAGGGAACGCTCGATCTGGATGCCTTAGCCAGCAATGCGCAGCTCATAGAAGCTGTAATCAGTAGTTTTTCTGGAGACGACTCGTCAGGTCCCTCAGGAGTGTCAGGTTCTCCTCTCCCAACGGCAGGTCGTCAGTCACGGGAAGGCTCGTCTGTTGTTGGAGGCAGCAGCGCCTCTCCGCCAAGGCAGCAGATTTCCGGGTGAGTCATATACCAGTAACCTTGTGTATATTTCTTCTTGCTTATCGTATTTTTCGAGTAATCTGCCTACGGACAGGCACCGATTCAAGGTGCTTTTTGCATATGTGTCGCGCAGCCCTAGCTCGTCATCCTCGTCATCCTCCTCCCGCAGGCCAGACCCAGATGCAGAGCTGGAGGCCATACGGCAGGAACAACAGGAGCGTTACAGGCAAAGAGGACTAGGGGGCTCTTCAGCAGCACGGCCTTCATCGACCCGCGGGGAGGGTGACACTGGACAGGAGGACTCGGGGGGTGGCTGGTTTTGGCAAAAGTTTGGCTGGGGAGGAAACAGCAATAATGGCAACGACGACAACAATAACAACAACCGGGGACGCAGCACGTCCTCGAGGAGGCCTCCACCCAGCAACAGGATGATGACGCTGCGCGATCTGCCCAAGCCTCAGCGGAGAGGATGAGGTTAAAGGTGGAAGCCCTTCCTTCCTTGCCAGACCTGCGGCCCCTTTCTCAACTGACCACACCTGGAAATGTTAGTCAATTAATTGTACACCTGACGAAGCTGTTTTGAGGGACTGGGGCTGCCGCGGCGCCGGGAGGGGCCTTCCACCTTAATGGGTAATATATTTGGGGCAGAGGTGTTCTGCGCTGCAACGAATGACGACTGGCGGCAAAAGCCGCGCAGCGGACGCCGTCGGCCTGAGAGTTGCGGCCATTTCCCTCCGAATTCGATGCAGGGGCACAGTAAGACTGTTGGTGTAGCGAATGATGCGAGGATAGCCGATGGGTCATCGCCTTGTCTTCGAGCCCTACAGCTGAGTAGGCTAACAGGCGACGCCCGTGTGTGTTGTCACCCTACGCGTCTGTTTGTTTTTGAAGTTTTTGGTGTAGTCGCGCTTGAAGGCTGTTGGCTGGTAGGCAGCTGCGGGGCCCTTGCTGTATGGCGTTTGTGTAGCACAAACGTATCGCCACCCTCACGCACCTCATACAAATTCACATAAGTAATTAGGGGTCATTACTTCTCTCGGCATTGGCGCGTGAGAGGCAGTGCATTCACGTACGTTTGAGGGGTTGGGATGAGCTGAGCTGTGAGCAGGCGGGGGTGGTGGCTCGGCACCAAGCGCGGGACGGTTATGCAACTGTTTTGTTGACGCCTTTCTTTTGTTCATAAAGTGCCTTCTGGGAGTTACGAATGTTGGTCAACTCTTAAACAACAGGCTGGTTTTTTTATGAACACGGAAATCCCGTATGACTGGCACCACCGTCACTGCAGTGACCGTTCGGCATCAGTATTAATTCGACGCTTCGTGGCACTTCTTTAGGGCGCCGCCGCCCTGAAACACCAACCCGCTTGTTGTTGTTGTGTCAAAGGGATTCCAGACTCTTCTGTCCTGCAGAATGGTTGCCACGGATAAACACATTTTTAGCCAGATGGGAATATTCGCCGATGCGCTCCTGGCTGTTGGTACACTTAGTGACGAACACGCATTTGAATACGGAATTAAACCGGCCTCCCCTGTCTCAAGGGTTCTGGAGGAGACGTTTGCTGGTTATAACGATACTCATGCTCAGAATGGAAGAGAACGATGTGAGGAAGGACCGCATAATGCATATATATGCAACTGTGCTAACAATGAGGCTGGGTTTCTTGAGCAAAGGAGGCATTTAAGAATAAGCTACTGCGTTGGCGCCTGCAAAAAAGCTGGGTTGGCTTGTGTTTGCATGAAGTGTTACCTTGCGGCAGGAACCGCACTAAGGCACGTTGCAACTCATGGCAGCCGCCCACGAACCCCCCACACCATCCTCGAGACCTTGGGCGTACAGAGGCTGGAGGGTAGCTTACTAGCCAGCTTCCAGCCTCTGTACGCCTTCATTCCCGGGGGACTCTTCTCATCTTGAATCTCCGGCTCTATTACAATACATGATTGCCGCGAGCTGCCCTCGAAGGGGTTAGAGGACGCTTACTGCAGTCAAAAGATTTCCCACAAAACAGCTAATAACCCCCTTCCTCAAGTCTCCTGGAGTCCTGCTCACAGCGGCACAAGGGCCTAGAGCTGGTGTGGATAGGAGGCGGCATGCCACGAGTTGCGTAAGTCCCAGCGCACCTGGATGCAACAACGCGGAAACCCCACACGCATTTGTAGCCAAGCCCTTCGCCGTTGCATGCGCTAGCATTTCAGGCGATTGCTAAATACTCAGTTAGCCCTCACTAGCCTGGTTGCAGGCAAGTGGAACTAGTGCCAGCTTCACACTGAGCATGCTCCAACTCGTAAGTCTCTGATATCGGCTAGCTCCTACAGGTCCTTAGTGACTGGCGCTGGGGACCCCAGATACTCTCTGCATTTGACACATTATTAAACAAGCCGGTAGTTCAGCTAGAATACAAGAAAAGTGATCCCTCTCCTCCCTTTCAGCGCTGAGCTGGCAGAGGCGCCGCTTGCAGCAGACATAGCTGCCTCTACTGTGATGAGCCCGTAAGGCTAGCCAACATCAGAACTTCGCTAGCCTAGCGCATTATATCACTAATTGTAATTCCGTTTGTAATTTAAAAGTATTTTAGACGCTTCTTTCTGCAGCCCGGGGCTGAGTTTCACAGGCGCTGTTGCAGTAGCCAGCACTACAATCGCTGCCTCGCAGTGTGGTATCATTGCACTTGCAGGACGTAGCGGCAGCTGTTGCTTTGCAGGGAGTTGGATTTTGAGAGCGTTGAAATATGCAAATTGAATTTAGTTGTATATCGACTCTTACCCTAGACTGTGCCGTTTGTCTTGTTGCGACCCTTGCGACCTGAACTCTGCGGCGTCCTGTCCTGTGGCACGCTGTGAAGGGTGGTTGGGGAGCTGCTGGCAGATGCGTCTCCACTGCAGGTTTCTGTCGGCTCGTGTCCCCAGCAGATCTGTGAGACTGCTGTCTGTAGGCGACAGCACCATTGGGAGGAGTGCACTCGCTCGGTCAGGAGTCTGCCGTGTAATCTGTGCATGCACAAGGAAGGTGCAGCGGGGCTCAAAAGGTCCAGCAAACGCTTCACCTTGCGTTTTCGTTTGTAGAAGTTTAGTGTGGCCCTGAAGCTTTCCTCCCGCCTGCATTCGGTCGTGTGTTTGTTCGCGGCTCCTATACAGTCACCAGCCCCATTCGTCTACCTGTGCAGAGACGAGCTTCACAGGAAGGTGTTTGGGCTTACATCAAGGTAGCAGTCGATGTGGTCGACTGCAGCAGCTACTTCAGCTAGACAGAAGCGGCTGTACGCACACAAAGGCCTGGCTCTCGTAAAGTTCCGGGTCGGGCCGGCGGCCAGCCACCAGCTGCGGTCCGCTGCAACGTCAAATTTGCGGAAAACGAAGTGTTCTGCCGCCCGCAGTTCGTAAGCGGACAACCTGAAGTGTTTTGAGCGGAGGAGAGCGGTGGCAGTATTGCAGCGGAGCAACTCAGAGGTCGCCGGTCGGGCACTGGAGTGCAGTTATTCGCCAGCCGTTGGCCAACGTCGCCTCAAGCATCAGGCCACCATGGGGTGAGTGCCTGCGGTGGAGTTTGTTAGCTGTTAACCAACCGCCCTCCTCTTTCCCACGCTTGTCCGGCTGCAAGTGACACTGTGCGCGGTAGTTGCACTCCACGAGCATAGTCCTTCTGCTGCTGCCTCCATCTCATTTGGCGTGCAGCAACGCGCAGGGGCAGCTGAGCCCTCAGGAGCAGAAGGACCTGGTCCAGGCAGCCAACTTCAGTGAGCGTGACATCAAGAAGTTGTACAAACGGTTCCGAGCTCTGGACACAAATCACAATGGAGAACTGGATCCGCACGAGCTGTTCGACGTACCAGAGATTGCAGATGTGCGTTTTGTACATTTTTCCCCTGCCCCGTCACAGCCGCGGGACGGTTAGGGATGTGGGGTGATTTCCAGAGAGCTCTTGCTCAACGCTCGAAGCAGGGTTATCAGGAGCATGTGATGCTTGATTTTCTGTGTCGGCTCATGTTGGAAAGCAAATATCCGTTTGTTTCCGCGTTCGCTTTTAGGGTCGTATGTGGAGTTTGTATGCCAAGGGGGTATCTGTGTATGTCAATGCGCGTGTATTGACAGGAATTTCTGCGTCATTTGTGTGGAGTGTTTGGTGTGTCTATGCCTTCAGAATCCGTTGGTTAAACGGGTGCTGTCGATATTTGATACTAATGGAGACGGCCGCGTGTCGTTCATAGAGTTTCTGGTGGGTCTGTCTAAGTTAGCAGCGGGTACGGACGAAATGCAGAAGACAAAGTTTGCTTTCGATGTTTACGACATCAACAAAGACGGCCACATCAGCAACGGGGAGCTCTTCGCAGTGATGAAGATGATGGTTGGAAACAACTTGAATGATCAGCAGGTAGGCGAAACAGGCCACTGCAAGCTACCACGACGCCGGACCTGTCCCAGCTGCGTTCTGCACCGTTTGCAGCAGCCCTTCATGTTATGTCAACCATTCCACTAGGCGAACTCAAGTGCTAAGTGCACATTTAAAGTCGTTACTTATCATGCTGCTTCCCAGATTACCGTGCTGCTTATACGTTTGTTGCTGCAGTTGCAACAGCTAGTGGACCGGACCATAGTACAGGCAGACAAGGATGGGGACGGAATGATTTCGTTTGAAGAATTTAGGGAGGTGGGCAGCAGTTTGCATGCAGTGAGAGCACCACAATTGTGATAGAAAAAACAGCAACAACCAGATTGTTTTGTCGCGTTAGTATAACCAATGCACGGGGCATGATGGTGCAAACGCGTGTGAGTGAGATGCGCTGCAGATGGTTTCGCATATTGATATCGCAGATAAGTTGCGAGTTGACGTGTGAGGTGCTTCATGCATGCGTCTCTACCCGAGCTAGCGAGGTAACGGCGGAGAGGCCCTCTCCGGGTAGACGGTGCTGCCTTTGCGCCATCTGCATCACTCTGCTTGGTGACGACCAGCAGGGCTGTTCGTCATCCCAGTGGGGCCTTCTGGTACAGTGGAGGTTTGATCGGAAACGGCTAATGGGCAAAAGGGTTACCCATAGGGAGATGGCAGATGCATTAGAGATTGAAGGTTTCGGGTTCAGAGGGTTTAGCGCGATCTACGCCTCCGGAGGTACGGCGAGTGCTTTGGGGTCCAAGGCGAACGCCTGCACCACAGGGAATGGCGGATCTGCAGCGTCTCGAGGCTCTAGAATCAAAGACAAAGTGCTCCTGCACGAAAGAACGCGGCGACAGGAACCGACGCAGCGGCAGTCGCCACCACACATCCCATTGGCCCTTGCTGCTGCAGCTGTCAGTCACTCTTTCGGGGGAGGCTCGATGTCTCACTCGAAAGCAACAAAAGGGCATGAAGATGAAGGCCGACGGGCTTGCAGACGCTGTGAGCACACGACATTAGGCGCTCCAGAAGAAGGTTCACCAGCGCAACCGGTAACTACTCGGCGCGCGTTCTGTACCGCGCTACTGCAACAAGCTGCGTCTCACCAACTCGCACTGTAACATTCCGGCGAAGTCAGGGTCACCCCTTCCGTTTTCTTGAGTGTGGATTTCGAGATGCGCCACTCCGTCTATAGCCTCACGAGAGAGTTGCCCCGTGAAGTGCCGCAGGCGCACCTGCGGCGCGGTGATTCGTTTATCCCCGCCTAAGGCGTTTCCTGAAAGGGGCCGTCTCTCCTTTGCTGCGTCGTGGAGCTGGCGAGCAGTTAGCTGCTGCAGGTGGCGGTGGTGCTGCACAGCAGCTCACAGCGTACAGAAAGTTCTACCTTACTTGAAGCATGAAATTTCTTTGTAGCGACTGGCCAACTTTCAGCAAGACGCTCTGCTGATGTGGATAAGGATGTCATGTGGCGGGCTAGTTCCAAGGTGTTGCTATGCCGTGACGGTAGACACGACAGAGATAGTGACGCACTGTAATGAAGTGGTTGACGAATCGAATGGCAGAGAGCTGCAATCGCAAAGCGAAACCCGGCACCACATGTCGTCGCAGGGCTTGCTCCCCAGTTATCCTAGCCCAGAGGCATGAAGCCAGGCACACGCATCTTCACTCATACTGAACGGTAGTTTATCGTGAGTGCAAGGTGGGGTTTTTAGTAGACTTGCTGCTGACTCGTTCTGTTGCCATCTTCCACTCCGCACGCCCGCGTCGTAGGGAATATAAACAGAGAAGTAAGAGGCACGTATTGGCGATCCAGTGGGAAAGGAGTTTCTCCGTGGTTTGTGTGGGCGGGAGAAGGCGGTCTGATGTACGGATACCAGCAGGCAGTCAAGATTGTCAATTGGAACCAGTCCATTTGTCCGCTTCCTTTGGAAGCAATATCAAGTGGAGAATGCACTGACTGCCAAACTTAAGGGAATTGTCTGCGCTCAATAATTTGGGATTATCCGGCTTTTTATCGGGTTGGCAGTCTTACACCAATCAGGATTATCCGCAGGGCTGCCCTTGCACGCAATAACTCTGGGGGTCTGTACTTGCGTATCTCTACAATCTTTCACAGGATCTTGAGGCGCCAGCACGAACAACGATGTCACTTCCCACTGCCCGATGCCGTCCGGCCTTCCCATGCCTTCTGTGCCTGTGGACGAAAAGAACAACTGGAAGAACTCCCAAGCGTCGCTTACTAACTGCAGCAGCCACTGCTTTAAGACGTACGGCCTGTGCCACAACGCCGCCTCATCTTCCTCCTGCCCAAACCAACAGCAACAAAAGCACACATGCAGATTCTCCTCTTCTGCAGGCGCTTCAGGGCTTGTGCGTCATTTGTGTTGGGGAAGAAGCAAGACTGCCACAGTTTTGGGTGCTTGGGGGTACAACTGACAGAGAACTTCTCTACAAGGTCCTGCTCGCTGTATCCGGTGCGGCGGGCGCATACAAAAGCCTGGAACATCCGCACACAAGAGAAGTGATGGAGTGGCTGTATCTGTCGACAGCGCACCCTCATCGTAGTGGAGCGCTAGAGGTCTTTGAGATAATAGTCAGGAGCTCACATGAGTGCAACCTTTGGGGCCATGTAACTGCAGCACGAGCCTTTTCCAAGGAGCAAACGTCTCATTGTGTTCTTCGACCGATGTCACATCCAAAGGCAACCCCAGATAATCAACCACTGAAGCATCGGACTGAGCATAAACCACATTCGAGGCCGAAATTGTGGGCTCATAGCTCAAGCATGTTGACGCATGGGTTACAATACAGTATGGTCTAGCGCTATATGCAACAGGGTACATCCAGGCACAATTGTTGCACAGTTGCAATTCGAGAATGGGACCAACGTGCACGCAACTCCACGTATATGACAGCACGAAGATGATATTTTTGTTAATGGGCACAGTGGCCTGGACATCAAAATAATTGCTTCAGGAGATATGGTCACGCCTTCGGCTTAACATTCTGCGTCAATAACACTCTGCATCAATCAGATACGTTCGGCAAAGACTTTGTGCATGACCATAGCTGGTACAGCTGATATATACGGCTGGGGAAAAAACGGCAGTCGTTGCGGGTAGACAGACCGGAATAAAAACATGCTGATGCATGAGGAGCATGCACCTACAAAGCGAACCTGCAGCATCGACTTCGCCTCTTGCAAGTAAGGATGCCGCGATTCGCGCGTAGCTGAGCGCCTGGAAGGCAAGCACCACGCGATAATGGGTTTCGGTGCACGACCCCATATTCGGGCATTTATCGTGTAACTATCTGCACTGAAACTTCCTGAAATCTCTGAGATTCGCGCTTACCACGCTTTGAACAAAACAGCACCCCCCAAAACAGCACCCCATCCCAAAGAGATGCACAGGAGGACCCAGTCTTCCTTCTGCACCCGCCGTAGGCGGGAGGCCAAACGCCTCCGGCCTTCTGCAAGCCAAGTCATCCCTCTAGAGTCAAGAGAGGGAGAATTCTCGGCACTAACCGAAGTGTGCTCTGTTGTTGCAGCACTTGCTGAGAGGCTTGAGAGGAGTCGCCAGGTTTGGCCTGTAAGTACACAGGCCCTGTCTACAGACCTGCGTACTACCAGCCTGCTGGGGAAGGTGCATTGGCGGTGGCGCCTCCACAACTCCTCAGGGCCATTTATGCAGCATTTTTCAGGCTGGGTGTATAGTCCACTTCGCAAGTGCTCAAAAGGCCTGCCCAACGGCCGTAATGATGGGGGGCATCGAACCCTGCAGCCCAACAGGGCGACGAGCGACGGCATGCCCACCAGTCTTCGACTTTGACGGTATCCTGTAGTCTATTTCATGACAGCCTTTGTGAGCCCACGAGTTCACTGTACTTGTTTTCTGAGGACGACAGTACCGCGACGTGCTTGAGCAGCCTCGAGAGCATCTACATTTCGATCATGGGCCGTGAACGCGGCTAAAATAGGCAAGCAGCAAGAGAAGATGAGGGCTTCATATGCAAGTGCATATATACACATACACATATGTTATTTGCCTGGTGCTGGGGAGGAAGGGGACCTAGAAGAAAATGAACAACGATTCGAAAACGCGAGCAGGCGCCGAGCAATCCTGCACACCTGTCGCCTTTAAGGTGGATACCTCACATCACATCATAATAATTGAATTCAAACCAATGTCCTAAATAAAATAAAATTTGTTTGGTAGATTGTCCCCAGACAACTATCGTAGAATGGCGGACTCCCGCCGCCGACTGGCCAGAGAGCCCCACCAGTCAGCAACCCAGCCGTTAGCAGAATGAGCTGCAGTTTCAGTTTTGGGGGAAATGAAAGGGAAATGAGTAGTCTTATAAACTTTGCTTCTCATTTTGAAAAGGTGGGGGTGGCCCCCTTAGGGCCTGCTCAGTACATGCTACGCCGTGCCCCCATTTCCCTGCAAGTCGAGCCGGCGATACACTACCTTGGCTTCGAACTCCTCAGCATCGTATTCGTCTAAATACATTTTGGCGGTCTTACATTTTCCTAACTATGGGGTGGCAATGCTCCCTAAGGCGCTGCAAGCGGGCCCTGTTGACCGTCTTATGCGTGTTGCCTTGCATTTGGTTATGCACGGGAGCAGCAGTTCTGTGGCCAGCTGCAGATATATCTAGAGCTTCCCTTCGTGCTGTTACAAGGCCTGCAGCAGCACTTCTCCCTCCTTTAGCACCGGACGATGCTGCAGCTGTGTCTGCTGTGGCAACATTTGTTCAGTGGGGTTTCCCTTCTGCTCATGTAGCAAGCATCAAGGCTTCAAGGGTTTCTACATCCACTGGCTACCAGAAGACGCAAATTGTGGGGTTGCTGCCTGCTGTAGGGAGAAGTGAACCAGGGGGAGCGTGGGCCCCTACGACGTGGCATGGCCGCCCACTGCCCTCGCTACGCAAAGCAGCGTCGCAGCACTTCGCTGTGCGGCTGGTGCAGCCGAACATCTACGTAGGAAGTGCTACTCTTGCAATACTAGCTTGCGTCTTGTGACACGGTGTCTGAGAGGACAAATTGTAGAGCAGTGTTGATCACGCACAGAAGGCATCTGGCTGCGTCTCGAAGTGTGGCTGCCGTCTCATATTTGTAGCACGTGCTCCCATGTAGCAACGGACTTAAAAATTTCCACGCTCTTTTCTGGCACAGAGACTCGTAATAGTGGGTAAATGTGGCTTGTGTGTGCTGTGGGTGGGGCTGCGGGTTGCAGGGTGTTTACAAATACCTAATTGAGTCACGAAAAGTGGAACTGAAGGAACTCGAGAAGAAACTAAAGGATGGCCGCAAGGCTGTGGTGTATGAGATTCGTCCCGTAAGCGTGTGGAGGCGGCTCCTAAACAACCTTCTCTGAAATTTTACATACTGACTTGCTATGTGTTTAAACGGAGGTAACCCTGCTTGAGGAAAGATTTTTGTATAGCTTCATACAGGCCGATGGACGTGCCACCGGTAATCACAGCATCTCCAAGGCATGTTTATCTTCCAAGTCTCCTCTAGGCCCTAGGCCGTTGCTTGCAGCACCAGCTTCCCAAATGGTAGCTGCAGCGTAGCATTTGCATTGACGCAGGGCGGTAATTTCGCTCCGCACAACACACCTATTTAAAGTGTCCCTCCCGTGGACGGGCTTGCCGGGATCAGGACCGAAAGTTATTGTATACGGCTTTGCCGTCGAACGTACTTAGCAATATTGCATCACATTAGGGAAGCTAGACCCCAAGGACAGCGCATCTGCCAGTTTCGTGTGACTTACGTGGCGTCGAGCGGCAGGTGGCGCTGTGTGAGCATTGTCTTGCCACTCTGGGGAGGACACTTGCTAGAGTGTGGGCACCCAACAAAGAGCGGTGTTAAGCTTGTTTTTGCTTTTCTACGGGTTAGCCTTCATTTGCGGCTCCCCAGCTAATGTCTTGCTCAACGCAAGCACGGTGCTCGCGCTGCTGTTTTCTAAGTGTTAGCACGTGTCTATTCGGCGGTGCAAGCATCAAGGCAGGCCTCTGTGTTTTGACGAAATTTGGGCTTCGGGTTTTCGAGCGGATTTGGAGGGGCGACCCCTTCCGTGCACTCGTCGAGCGAACCTCCTCACGCTGTAGGCCAATGGTGGAGCAGCTGCCGCAACCTGGTAGTGACTGGTAGTTAGCAAGGAATTTACTTTGCCCTTCCACCTCGGCTAATCCTTCCCTTTCTTCTCTAATTAGAAATTCCTGAACCCCCAAGATGTTCGTGGGGGCTGAGGTAAGCGTAGTTTGACTGCGGCCGACAAGGCGGGGCTGGGCTGGTCTTATCGGCCGCGTTGCTCAAGCACATTGCTGGAGACCTCTATAATACATTTTCACCTAATCACGTTTTGGCAATGAAATCTAACCGAAGTGACTGACACTCCGCAGACTGCTGCGCTCTAGCCTTTGTGCCGCACCGGTCCAGGCGGGCCCGGGTGAGGCTCACAGGCACAGTACCAACTCTCGAACTAAGCACACACCTCCCCCGCAGTAAAACGCTGCAACACCGTACTTAATTGTACAGGCAAAAGGGGGGAAATAAAAGCTGGTTGTGGAGGCGATTGCGTGGTTTTGAGCAGAGTTCTCTTGTAGTACCATCGGTCGGGTGCGGAGTCAAAAGACTCACCCACGGTCGCAGACAGAAATGGGCACACCGTCCCCTGTGTCCCAACAGCCGAAGGCTGTGAGAGCTGCAGCTGCTAAAGCTGCGTCACGGGGACGCCGTTCTTCCTTGAGGCGATGGACCCGTTTAGCAAGTTCCAAAGTGGCGTGGGTCTTGGTCCTGCTGGTCGCTGTATACTTGGGCTTTTTCTACAGCCCACGAGTCCTGACCTGCAAGTACGAAGTAATTGGGGGGCCCGGTCTAGATCCTGCATTCGCGGCTCCTACTCGCCACTTCCGGATAGCCGTTCGAAACGACAGCGGCGGTGAACTTCCCATTGGATTCAAGAAGGATAATATCCGCCTCACGTGGCATATTTCGCCTTCGATTCCTGGACGTGCGGGGCAATCTGTTGCTTCAGAGTTGTATGACTTAGGCGGAGGTGAATTTCAAGTGGCTTTTCGGGTCAAGGAAGGCGTGCCCAGTGGCCACGAGCTGCGCCTGCGGATTAGCTATGCTGACAAACAAACCCCCATTTCTATTCCACCTCTTGACATCTCAGTACCAGGGCCCATTCATGAGCCCAGTTGCACCGCCCCCGTCCAGGCTTTTGCCTGGACGCAGGCCATGGGTTGTCCGCGCACCTTCCCACAACTGGAAGAGGTGATTCCTTACATACATGGACACGTTGGGTCTCACTAAAATATCTCCCTAGTCCAAATGGTTAGGCTCTTGAGAGACGGTTGAGATTTCCTTCTGTTGATAACCTTCAACTATAAAGCATTCATGTGGTGGAGACTCAATTGTAGGGCGGGTAAACAATTCAAGCATTTCCATGCCTTGACTTGCTTGCTGCGTTAAGACGCAGTGTTTGGTGCTTTTCAATTTTCATGCGTTTTCGTGAAGTCCAAATTGAGTAAATGTGCTGCACTGAGGCAGAGGGAAGTGAGGGGACACTAAGCATGGCATCCATATCTGCGCTTACAAGCAAGGCGTGCCAGACCTGTGCCTTATCTGCCGTCCGCATATCTTGGAAGTTGAACACTTGCAACTGTGTTGAATTTATAAGAAGACTTTGGTGTCAATTGAATGCATAAGGGAGCTGTTAGCTCCATGACACAGAAGCTTCCCCACTGACCCACTACATCTCTTTCTCACTGTCGTGTGTGTGTGTGTGTATGTGTGTGTGTGTGTGTGTGTGTGTGTGTGTGTGTGTGTGTGTGTGCAGGACCTGAAGAGTTTTGAGACCATCGATCTTGGCAAGCTACGGCAAGCTATCCCAAAACTACTCCAAAGGAGCTCTGCAACTTCGTTGTTGCATTATGTTATCAAGGACAATCAGGTGTTCAAAAAAGCACACGGTCCTTTTCCAGCATTTTCTTACTTTGCCGATATGGTCTTCCATCAATTGGCAGCCACTGTCAAATTGCCTGGTTAGTGAACACAAATTTGGTGCATCTTTCAGCTAGGAGATACCTGTTGCTGGTCATGCTTGTATACGAATTCAACGGCACTCTATAGGCTCAGCCGTTTTCCTGACAAGTGTTGTGGTGCACAACCTCGCCTTTACAATATTCCAAACCCACCTTCCATGATGGAAGCTGCCTCGCAGATGCGTGTTGACCTTGCTAGCTGCAGTGCTTCTCTGGAAGGGCTTTCAGCATGTGGCTAGCTCCTGTTGCTCTGCCCGCAGACGTTGAATTTGTGTTAAATGTGGGAGACTGGCCTCTTGTGGAGAAGTCCTGGGGTGAAGGAAGGGTTCCAGTGTTCTCTTGGTGTGGGTCAACTGGCTCCTTTGACATAGTACTCCCTCAGTGGGACGTTTCGCGCTCGACAATCTTGGGTAACACCGAGTCCGATCCAGATCTTTTGGCCTCTCAGGTGCGCATGTAAAAAAGGAAGATACGGTGGGACCGAAAGCAACGGCAGCTAACTTGCCAACCTTATCCTGCCAGCTATGCAGCGGAAATGGTCAACGCTGTCGCTGGCCACACATTCTGCAATGTGTCCCCGTATGCATCCCAGATAATGCCGAGTTTTCGTATATCGATTTTTAGATAGTCATAATCCGCAGTGGCTCTTTGATTGAGGCGGGTGCGGCCTCTGTCGGTTGTGTTTTGTGTAGGGCTGGAGCCTACATGCGTGGGAATCTAAAGATTCCCGAGCGGCATTTAGGGGTCGCGACAGCAACCCCGTTCGCGTGAAGCTTGCACAGTTATCTGCACTCCATCCAGATCTTCTGGACGTAGCCATCACCAGCTGGGAAAACGACGAGAACTTTGAAGCTGAGGAGCAGCTCGGAGGAGGCAGTAAGAAGTTTATTAAACTGTCCGAGTTTTCCAAGTACAAGTACATTCTTGAGCTTGATGGCACCGTGGCTGCCTACAGAAATCCATACCTGCTTGCGAGTAAGGCCACCAAGCTTGCTGCCTTTTGCAGCCCATTGATTGTACTTGGCTAGCAAAGCCCCTTGTACTTTTTTGGAGTAACGCTTTTGCTGAAGCGGCAACAGTGATGTCTACGAATACCAAAAGAGGGTAAATTTATCACAGCTGACTTTCCGGCTGTCTGTCTATCTCTTTCAGGCGGAAGTTTGGTGCTGAAACAGGACAGTGCGTATTACGAGTGGTATCAGAGGGAACTTTCCCCTTGGCAACATTTCGTACCTTTCAATGGAACCGGCGAAGACTTGCTTTCGAAGCTGCAGTGGGCAAAAGAGAATGATGCGGAGGCAAAGAGGATAGCAAGCAACGGTAGGACCTGTTGAAAACAGACAGTTTGCAAGCTTGGTAGCGCCCTCACTGCCCGGGTGGAGCACGCCTCTGTACGAATAGATAAATTGTAGGTCCGCATGCACCAGCTAATTAGACAAATTGTAGGTCCGCATGCACCAGCTACCCCATAGAAGGAAGAGCTTGTGCATGCGAGGAAACAAATAGGTACCAACCCGCTGGGCGAAAGTGCACTCCCTGAGAGTTGTGAGATGCTCTCTCTGTGTGCCTTTCCTCATGGCCAGCTCGACAGTATGCAAAGATCAGTCTACTCCCGGAGCGCGTCCTGTGCTTCTACTATAAAGCCCTAGAGAGTTACGCACTGAGGCAAGTAGGAACGCCTACAGTTATGGAGGACATGGTATGGGTCCCCCCACCTCAGCTGCCAAAATACAATACATGCGGCTCGCCAGATCCATTGTCACGCTTGGGTGACTATCCAGTGGTGCCTCTTCACCCGACCTCAGTGGAGACATTTCTGTCCCGAGCAGATAAGGTGGGTTCTACGCGAAAAGATGCTGCCTTCCTGTGATCCTAGTGTATTGTGAGGCATGTTCTGCGAGAAAAGCAAAACCCATTGACGGTTCATTTCCAAACAAATACTAATGGCATCAACCGACTCAACGAAGCTGCCTGTTGTGTTTCTCTTCAGGACACAGTTGTGATTGTCCACTCGGCGTTCTGCAACAGAAGCGCTCGCATTTTGGCTGATATTTTGGTGATGGCTCGGATGTACAGAGCTGCTGGTGCTGACCTTCAATTCGCATCTGCCGAGACCTTTACGGCACAGTACCCGATTAAGTGGATTCAAACAACGAATGGACCCCAACTTTTCTTCTTAAAAAAAGGGTCTAGCACTCCCGAGCAACTTGCAGGGCAGCTCACCAGAACGGCAGCCGTAACTTTCATTAATTCGAAACTTCCTGATGTGCAGCACCACATTATCGCCCCGCCAGAAGTTGAACAAATTATTTCGGATCCCATCCCGCAAAGGAACGATGGACCGGCGAAGCAAATAGTCGCCAACACGTTTGGCGAGCTCGTATTGGGTTCTGACAAGGTAATGAGGCAGCACCTGAAGTCGAAGGAATCTACGTGGCCGTTGTCAACAATACCCTGCTTTTCCCCGTGCATACAGCGTTTTTCGCTAAGACCTCAATCGCCAAAGCTGCTGTTGTGTCATTTATGCTGGTACAGGACGTGCTTCTAATGGTGTCAGCCCCATGGTGTGGCTATTGCAAAAAAATAAGGCCAGCGTTTTTCCGCTTTGCGCGGGCAGTTTCTGCGAACCCTGCGGCAGCAGCTGTGCTGGAAGTCGCAAAGATGAATGGTCCCACCAATGAAATTAGACACAAGGGATTTGCCGTTACTCACTACCCAACAATATGGTTTGTCCGGAAAGGCGAAAAGCAGCCCGTAGTTTTCTCTGGTAGATCCACTGAGGAAGGTTTTTTAGAGTTTGTAAAGAAGCATGCCACAAATCCTGCTGATCTCGAGGGTATTGTCACAACCCCAAAACCTCCAAGTGGCACGAAGCTGTCAATGAAGGATCTGCAGAGCAAGTACGGCTCTCCCATACTTACCGTCGATTCGGAGAGCTTCTATGACGACGTGCTTGACAACGACAAGGTACCTCTAATCTTTGAAGCCGCCATCCCTCAAAATCCATGCAATCCACTAAATCATGCTCTCTAAGATCCAACTTGCAGACCACGCATACCTCCACCACGAGTGCATATTAAAGGCTACACCTTAGCAGTACAAATCGGCTGTCACAATCGCATGTGTACGTGCACGGGAGACAGTGATTTGAGGCCTTGCTCAGGACGTACTGCTGCTTGTATACGCTCCCTGGTGTGGACACTGCAAGAAGTTAGAACCTACATACGAAGAATTCGCGAAGCTTGCAGCTGAGTCGAAGTCAGCAAACGAGGCATTAGTGGTGGCGAAGATGGACGGATCTGCCAACAGGCTACCAGATGAGAAGTACAAGGTGACGGGATTCCCAACGGTCTGGTTTTTCAAGAAGGGTTCGGACACGCCCATCAAGTTCATGGGAGAGCGAACAGCAAACGGTCTTGCTTCGTTCGTGCAGCAGCACGCAACCACCAAAATCGAGATGAAGATCCCTGCTCCACCGGCTCCAGTTGCTGTATCACAACCTGCACCAACGACGAATGATGGCCCAGTGAAAGTCGTGGTTGGTGATACGTTCAAGTCGCAAGTACTTGATTCCGGCAAGGTGATTGAGGACTCAGTTGTGAATTCGACGGTGTTATGTGGATCATGATTGTTGAGGAGTGTATTGGGTCTATGGAAAAGTGCAGCGGTGTCTTAGAAGATGTGAGGGGAAGAGTAGA